TCTTCAATCAATCTCTTCGATCTATCTATTCAATCTATCTATATCTCTTCAATCAATCTCTTTGATCTATCTATTCAATCTATCTATCTCTCTTCAATCAATCATCCCGCAGGCTTTATCTGCCAGGCTTATATACTAAAAAAGGGGGGCTTGCTGAATGCACTAGGAAATTTATAATCATTCGAGAAACTCATCACGTTACTTCCACTGTCGTATGAATATTACGTAATCTTTGAGAAAAAATGCAAAGTAAAACTTCTCAGTCCAATTTTAAATATAACTTTCTATACGAAAAGTATATCAGTCTGTATTCTAATTACTATCACAAGGTGTATTAGTAAATCCAAAATTGTATTCATAATACTTAATTTTAAGTTCACTAAAAAACAAATAATGTTACATAATTCAAAATACAACTAATTCACATGACTGCTATTTTACGACTTGAAACAATTTCTTAGTTAAGTACTTAATGGGTAAGGTAGTGGCGTTTGGATATATTAATCATTATGTTTACTGTGTTTTCTAGATGTTAGTAACCATAAAAAAGAATTTCTTGTTACATTATGATTTAAACAGTTCCTGATTAAAACTGATTATTTTGTAGTGCATCACAGTAAACAATGTCTAAGTTAATGCTCAATATCTGAATTATTTTTTTCATAACAGACTAGCATAACATCATTTGCAAAAGCTTATTTTATAAATGTAAGAACATTATTTAATGAAGGACAATAAAAAAAGCTAACAAATATAACAGGAATCCATTACACTATTAATCTAGAAGTTCTTTAGAATAACAGATGGTGATTAATGAAATGCAAAGGCAACAGAACAAATATTAAAGTGAAACTTTTGTGTTGGTAACATATACATTAGTTTTTGCACTAACATGCAATTGAGAAATATAACTGTAAGTAACAGGTACTTATTTAGAACTAAATACAACAACCACTGCTGATTTTCTAACATACACCATGTAGCTGTAGATTTTCTGTATAATAAAAATGCTGAAAATATTGATAATGACAATGAAACTCAATGATGAATTCTGTTTTTAGATATTGTATACACTTAGACCAGTATATTACATCAGTTATATTACTATTTAGACAGGTTGCTTTGTGCATGTTACTAATACTATATTCACAAATGCTAATTGGGAAAATATTCAATAAAATATTTTAGTTCAACACAGCTTTAGAAAATCTTCCCACTAATTTGTCCTTTTAATAGGACTTTTACTTACAAATCTTGCTACACATCACATTAGTGTATGGTTTCTCACCTGTGTATGATCTTTGCTATACTTTTATATCAAAATTTATTTAAGTTCTATTCCATATATTCCACATTAATATGGCTTCTTCACAGTGTGTATTCTCAGGTAACTTTATAGAACAGTTCTTCAACATTATTTATCATATATTACATGATTGAATGGTTTTTCTCCATTGTGTATTCTCTTGTGTATTTCTAGTTTACTCTTTGTTCGAAACTGTTTTCCACACACAACACAACTAAATGGCTTCTCTCCAGTATGTATCTGCTCATGACTCTTTAGGTTACTTTTACTAATAAATTCTTTGCAACATACTATACAACTGTAAGGTTTCTCCCCAGTGTGTATCTTCTGGTGTATTTCTAGTTTACTTTTTGTTCGAAATTGTTTTCCACACACAATACAGTTATAAGGCTTCTCCCCAGTATGTATCTGCTCATGACTCTTTAAGTTACTTTTACTTATAAATTCTTTGCAACATACTACACAACTGTATGGTTTCTCCCCTGTGTGTATCCTCTCATGTATTTCAAGTTTACTTTTTGTTCGAAATTGTTTTCCACATACCACACAACTGTATTGTTTCTCTCCAGTGTGCATTTTCTCATGAACCTTTATGTAACTTTTACTGACAAACTGTTTTCCACAAACAACACAATTGTATGGTTTCTCCCTAGTGTGCATCTTCTCATGTATTTTCAGGTAACTGTTACTGACAAATTGTTCTCCACATACTACACAACTGTATGGTTTCTCTCCAGTGTGTAACTTCTCATGAATCTTTATGTAATTTTTACATACAAATCTTTTGCCACATATAACACAACTGTATGGTTTCTCCCCATTGTGCAACTTCTCATGACACTTTCGGTAACTATTACTTGTAAATTCTTTCCCACATAATACACAACTGTATGGTTTCTCCCCAGTGTGTATCTTCTCATGACTCTTTAGATTACTTTTGCTTACAAATTCTTTACCACACACAACACAACTGTATGGCTTTTCACCAGTGTGTATCTTCTCATGACTTTTTAAGCTTCCTTTACTAGCAAATTCTTTCCCACATAATACACAACTGTATGGTTTCTCACCAGTGTGTATCTTCTCATGACTCTTTAGATTACTTTTGCTTGCAAATTCTTTACCACATACTACACAACAGAATGGTTTCTCCCCAGTGTGTATCTTCTCATGGATTTTTAAACCATCTTTACTTGTAATTTCTTTACCACACACTACACAACTGTATGGTTTCTCACCAGTGTGTACCTTCTCATGACTCTTCAAGTTACCTTTACTTACAAATTCTTTACCACACACTACACAACTGTAAGGTCTCTCCCCTGTATGTATCATCTCATGACTCTTTAGGTTACTTTTACTAGCAAATTGCTTACCACATACAACACAGCTGTATGGTTTCTCCCCAGTGTGTATCTTCTCATGAATATTTAGACCAACCTTACTTACCAGTTCTTTACCACATACTTCACAACTGTATAGTTTCTCTCCAGTGTGTATCTTCTCATGAATTTTTAGGTTATGTTTACTTACAAAATCGTTACTACATACTGTACAACTGTATGATTTTTTCCCAGCGTGCATCTTCTCATGACTTCTGAGGTTACTTTCACCTATAAATATTTTACCACATACCACACAAGTATGTTTTTCCTCCACACTATGCATCCTCTGGTGTTCTTTTAGATGATGTCCACCCACGTTTTTCTCATATGTCTTTGTATCTAAAATCAAAAGTTGTTGAATATAATAAATAATCTTTGTTTAATATTACTGCATCTATAAAGTACAATAACATAAAAAGACAAGAAAAATTAAAGTGCCCATTATCAAAATACACATTAGGCAAAGAAGGAAACAAGATTAAGGAGGTAAACATACCTTTCTTATGTTGGTTAACCTAAAGTAGTTATTTCCTTTAATAAATTAAAACTTTTATTTGATCCCTAGTGGATTTCATTTTCACAGAAACAAATAAGGCCAGTATATTTTACTTATGTCAATATTTTGACCTTTAGTATATTTTATAAAAATTAATATTTTCTTTACTTTAAAAGGTATTTCAGATAGATACTTACCTCTCTACACCACTAGGAGCTATTACTAGGTGAAAAACTGTCATGGACTTTCTTGTACATGCTACAAGACATGAACAAACTCTAACCCCTACACATGCCTATATTTATTGCCCCATGAGAAATAACCATAGACTCATTCTTAAAGAAGCAAACAAAATGCATCAGAAGTGTGGAGAAATGGTGGGAGGTGGTGCAGAAAGGTAAGCTTCTGCCAGAAATAAATTTCCAGGTGAGGAAAATGTCAACTTTAGAAACATTACGTACCTCTCTGCACCATAAAGAGCTAGAATCTTACACTGAAGATGGTAGACGGGCTGGTGATTATTGGTTGCAAAAATGAGCTCCTTTATAAAATAGTGACAGAAAGGGTAAGCCCATAGGGTGTGACTTCCATGAGACCAAAGGTCACCTAGTACAGCAACACACAATAGAGATCAAATGTTTCTCAAGCAAGAAATATTCTTCACTCAAATTGTTTTTTGTTGCTTTGGCTTTGTTGGTGGTGATGGTTTTGTCACCACTAGAAAGTATAACAGAGAATATTGGGAAAATTCAGTGTAGGTGATAGCATGTCACTAAGGTGGGTGGAATGTTAGAATGTATAGAGTGGATTGGGTTTATGGGCCATTCCGTCAAGGTGAAATACATAAGATATTGTAATAAAGGTGGAGAGAAGAGGAGCTCTTATCTGCACCTCAAAGTAAATCCAAGTCCTATTTAGCTAGACATATGCACTGGGAACTTTATTGGAGATTGAATTATGGGGTGTTCTGTACAACATTTCCAGGTAACTTTCCAGCCTTACATCTTAAATAATGTGTGGATACAACTGGCCTCTTACCAAGGGGAAAGTATCACTTGCAAAAGTAATTCTACATAGTAGTCATAGTCACAAAGAAGTCATAGTTTTGTAGCAATGTTAGTGACACAGAAGATAGGAAAAAGAACAAGTAAAAAGGTGAAAGTGTATAGAGAGAGATCATTAAAAAAATCTCACAACCCTTAGGTTGATGGAAAAAGAGTTGCTACATGTGGGTAAAGTGAAAAGAGATAAGCACAGATGCGATCAGAGCCCAGGATTGGCTTCAAAAAGGTCACAGCCAAAAGCCATAGCAGCTAGTCATGAGGGAGGGGGGATGGTGAACAGAAGTAACTGTGCAAAGAAGAGGAGAGAGAATAATCTCATGAGGATGGGTATAAGACTGAGCTTCCTGCAATCTAGCAAATCAAGAAACCAAGTAAATAATGTCAAATTGCTGGTAAGCAGCCTCAGCTTAGGATTCTAAGTAGTCAGAAACACCCCCAAAGACCTGGTCTGTAATAAAAGGGGAAATATGAAGGTCATGGATATAAGAGGAAGAGAGGCTGACACCTGATATAAAAGCATCTTGATTGAGGGATCACAAAAACAAAGAAACCATATAAAAAGAAAGAGGGAGTATGTTTGTTTGTAGTTATAAGCACAAAGCTACACAAAGGACTATCTGTGCTCTGCCCACCATGGCTATTGAAACCTAGACTCTAGCGATGCAAGTCCACAGACATACTGCTGTGTCACTGGTGGAAAAAGAGAGTAAAAAAAAAATCAAGGCCAAAGTGGCAAACAACTAAGAGCAGGTGTTGCTAACAAAACTATCTGGGTCATGATGGAGTGCTTCACTAAGAACGTAAAGCGTGAAGATATAGCAGAGGAGCTGGATAAAGGTGAAACAAGTAGATTGTTGGAAAGGAGACAAAGAGGAAGAAGGATGAACAATCTAAGCAGAGAGAAGAGACTCAAAAGATTGGAGCTCAAGATAAATAGGTATAATACATGAAGGACAAAAATATTGATCAATGAGAAGTTGGGATAGAAAGGAATCAGCATGGGCATGAAAGTCCTGTGGAGGGAAAGAAGGAGAATTATCAGATGGAAGTTCCTGAAGTAAAGAAACCCAAAAGTCATCAGAATTGACAAATGAAAGAAATAGAATGTGACATACCCAAGTAATGTGCATAGCAAAACGAGCTGGGGAAAGTACCTGTTCCTCATTAGGAAGAAAAGGAACAGAAAAAAAGGCTGAAAGATGAAAAACTGGTCAAGATCACCTAAGAGCAAAGAAGGCAATGTAACTGAAATATGAAGGACCATGACTAAATATGAAGCAGACAGAAAGGAACCAACCATTTGATGCACAATAATGGTAACATCCTGAACAGATAATGTGACTCCAGTCACAAGTGATACAAGTGGAAAGGATTCTTGAAGAAAAACATCACAGCTTCAGGAAATAGAAGCCATAAAAATTTAAGAATTCACAGTAAAAGGGTAAGGCCACAAACGTTTTTTTATTATTTGTTTTAGATAGTATAGAAAAAAATGTGGTGACTACAGGAAAAACAAAATTGCAAACAAATGGATGGGACAAAATCATAAAAAGGGCCAAACTAATGAGAAAACTAAATGCACAGGAAAAGCATGCCTGAATACAAGTGGTGCTGAAGAAAAAATGAGCCTATGATCACATGCTTGTGCTCGCAGGGATTACTGAACATGAAGGTTGTGTTGCCCACCTACCAGAAGAGAACTAAAACTATTATAAAAAGTACATCATATAGACATGTGTAGGAGTGTGAGTATATTCAAGGCTTGTGGTATATTCTCAAAATTCCATAGAAGTTTCGCACAATGTAATAGCTCTTAGTGGTGCAGACAGGTAAGTAATGTTTTTGAAATTGAAAGGACAAGGGGAAAAAAAAGGACAATAATTAAAAAAGCAACAGAATGAAGTAGGAGAATTTCAGTTGTTTGATAAACAAACAAACACATATACATATTTAAAACAACAAACTAAAAATGTACAGATTAAAATAATAGTATATCAGGCATACTACATTTCTTATGTAGCTTACTCTACACACATTATATTTATGTACTTACTAAACAGCTAATACATTTATTACGTAGCTAATGTAAGTTGTACATACAGCCTCTGTAACTATTATTTAGGTTACTCTATACACACAGCATTTCTTATGAAGACACTTATTTATTTATTATCTAAATATATTTCTTTGTCCTTCAATTTTTTTCTAGTTAAACATAACTTCCACACGATAATTATTAAAGTACTCTGTATAAATATTAAACAATAAAATGGGCTATTGTGACTTGAGTGTCACAAAGACCACACATTGGTGGATCAATTCCAGATAAAAGAAAACAATCAGTTAAAAACTGTGACCAATGCCTAACCAGGACAACTTCCTTCTTCTGATCATTGTGGAAACAAGACGGCCAAAGAACAACAACTGCAGAGAAAGTTGCCAATGACTGGAGAAGTGCGGCAAGTAAGGAAAGAAACTATATTGTTTCTCTTCATCATCAGTCCTATGATACAGACTACAACTATATTGTTTCTCTTCATCATCAGTCCTATGATACAGACTACAACTATATTGTTTCTCTTCACCATAAGTTCTATGATACAGACTAAAACTATATTGTTTCTCTTCATCATCAGTCCTATGATACAGACACTAGAACTGTACTGGTTCTCTTCATCATCAGTCCTATGATACAGACACTAGAACTGTACTGGTTCTCTTCATCATCAGTCCTATGATACAGACACTAGAACTGTACTGGTTCTCTTCATCATCAGTCCTATGATACAGACACTAGAACTGTACTGGTTCTCTCCAATGAAAATTCTATGATACAGACACTACAACTGTATTGTCACTTTTCACTATCAATTTTATGATACAAACATTTCTCTTCACTGACTATTTTATCGTACAGATGTTATAGGTAGTGGCCAAAAAAATGGAAACACCAATATAAAGTCACTTAATAGGGTGTTGGGTCACCACATGCGGCCAGTATGGCCTTTATGCACTGTGGCATAGAGTTCACCAGCATTTGAAATTTTGCAAGAGGAATACAACACCACTTTGTCATGCCTAGTTGATGGAAGTGGAAAACACTGTCTGAGATGTCATTCCAAAATATCCCATCCATGCTCGATTGGGTTCAGATCTGGTGACTGAGAAGGCCATGACATATGGATAATATCAGTTTCATGCTCTTCAAACCACTCATGCTCTGTGGATGGGGGCACTATCACCTTGAAAGACACTTCTCTCTGCAGGACAGAGATGCTGTAACATGGGATGAAGATGATCACTAAGTACCATTAAGTAATGACTGGCATCAACCTTACATTCTAAGGGTATGAGTGCACCCAAACCATGCCAGGAAAATGCACCCCACACCATTACGAAACCACCAGAACCCTTCATTGTTGGAACCAAGCACTCAGGGCTGTAGAGTTCTTTAGGTTAGCACCACATGTGCACTCGTACATTTGTAGAGAACATGGTGAAGGATGATTGATTTGACCATATCACATTCCACCACAGCTTGGCAGTCCATAGCTTGTGCTCTTTGCACCACTGGACGTGCAACCATGCATTGCCAGATGTGATTAGCATTTTTGCACTGCAACCAGACTATGGTATCCTGTTCTGTGGAGTTCTCTATGGACTGTTTTTGATGAAACTCGTTGCTTTCACTCCAGGTTGAAATTGTGGCCAATTGATCTGCTGTTGCTTGCCTGTTTTGCTTTGCAATTAGAATTAATGCACGTGCATCACAATCCTGGAGTAGGCACTTCCACCAACTGTTGCCCTTTACTGATGATGTCTTTCCCTCAGAGTTCCATGCTGACACCACCTTAGATACTGTTGCTCATGAAACATCATTAAGTTGAGCTGTCATGATAACTGAAGCTCCTGCCAAACATACCCCAACAATCACCCCTCTTACAAAGTCACTGAGGTCTCCTCTTGCAGTCATGATTAGGCAACCAGGCCTGTTTAGCATTTTTATACATGACCATATTATGCAAAGCAGAGACTATCACACAGGTGTGGCTCGTCCATCAATTAAAAAATAACATCCCAGCATGCTACCCAGGTGTTTCTATTTTTTTGCCCACTACCTGTACAACTGTATAAATTATCAACTGAAAGATAGTATTAAACTAGTTACTAATTATTATACAAAACAATACATAATTAATAGTTATACTTAAGCAACAGAAAAACTATTGACTACAACTGATAATGATATGTGACTATCACAGCCTTACTTAAGTACATCAAATGATTCCCAAAATTTAACTAAACAAAACACTATCTCATCTCAACCAGATGTAATGGTTTTAAGAATTCTCTTGGAGATGTTTCTATTTACCAGGTAAACTTTCTAACTCAGAGCCAATTTGTTGAAAATCATTTTGAAATTCTTTTCCTTTTGTCACACTCAAAACAACATCTTTTGAAATATCTAGGTGATCATCATCATCATCATCATTGCTGTCACTACACTCGGAAATAATCTCATGTTGTTGTGTACCATCAAGTTCATCACTTTTAACTTGGATAAACGTGTTCTGAAACAAAATATTAATAAGAGTAAATAGTTTAATCAATAAGTTAGACAATCTAATGCATATAAAGTCTCCACAAATACATATAAAATCTAAATTTAAAATAGAATGATAAAAAAGTCACATTTCAAAGCTGTGAGTTTATACCAAGAATCCAATAACGAGGACAATTTATTGACATAAAGTTAATTGCATTAGAAACATTATTAAGAACAAAACTTGCTTTATTTCAAAACTTGATTAAATAGAAATATTTATTACTTTTTATCATGATGTAGATTGACTACACTTATTGTATGATCAAAAATATTCAAACAAAATGAATACAACATGAACTGCAAGAAGATATATTTTAAAAGTTGTAAGACATATATATATTTGAATATATTTCGGAAAAATTATATGCATCTACACAGTAACAAACACAACATTAAAACCACTGAAATATTTAAAAATAGGTTTTCAAAAAAATACCATGTCTTAGTCAGTGTATTGAATTATTAAACAAAATTAAATTAACTTTATCATTACAATTTGAATAAGAATACACTTCTTACCAGTTGAATATAGGTTTGAAAATATAATATTAAAATAATTTTGGATTTGTAAATTTTGAAGTCCGTGACAACCACAGCTAGTATAAAGAGTTGGTGGAACAAGTATAAGAACTACATTGTGACACTGGAATTACTTAGGTAGTTGAATGATTGTGAAAATATTCATACAGTCAGATAGTAAAGATCTGTTAGGTTAACATTTTCTAACTCTGAAAATGTATTTTCAATAGCTACTTACCTCCCATCACCCAAAGCTATCTCAACCTTGATCTGCCCTCTAAGCATTGCTAAAACTATCAACTGCACACTAGTCTATTACACCACTTCATTTTTGCACCATTGCAGCAATGTGTGCTGATGATGTGACTACCCTCCACCAATCACACTGCACCCTCTACCACTGGAGCACAAACCTCACTTTTTAGAATTGGCAGGTACAAACTTCAGTGTTAGAAAATGTTAACTTCTAAAATGGTTCAACCTCATCTCACCCAAAGCTAGAATCCCACATTGCAAAAGCGGAGGGGCCAGTGAAGGTACCAAGGCAATCAAACAAGTTGAGAACAACCTCTGTGAAAGAACAGGTGTGCCACAATTATAAAAGGAGGCACACCTGTGGAGTATAGCACTACTGCTGGAATAGGTATGCTCTTCGCCCAGTAATGAACAAAGTAAGACAAATAGGATAGAACTTAATAGACAGGCACCATGTCATGTAAGACAGAGTCCACTCATGGACAACAGACAGTACGTAAGACATCCACATATGTAAGAAGCATGAGCAGGTGACACAATGATAGATGGATTTCAAGAAGGTGTCTCTAATCTGATATAAGAATACTTGGCTAGGTCTAAAAGACCATATCTGAATAGGTCAAGTGTGGTCCAAGAGCAAAAAATAACACAAAAGTGCCTTGCATAAGTTTATAAGATCAACAACTGTTGTATGCCCAGGCAAAAAACATCCAGGAGAAGCGACTTGTATTATATGGATTATGTCAAGTGTGGTCTATCTAAGCAGAAAACATCCAATGGAAGCACTTTGTGTAAGACTGAGAGATGAACAAGTGTGGTCTGCCTAGGCAAAAAAACATTTAAAACATTTAAAAACATTGTGATAGAAGAAAGAGGGGGGAAGGGATATGCATTGAGGAGTCAGGAGGAAAGACACACTGGAGATGGTGCAATGGGCACCTGCATGTCCCTATTTTGAAAAGCAGAAAGTCCATGATTGTAAGGATCACAAGTCAGTAGGGATGGGCAAAAATTCCTAGGTGTTTTACTCATGTAGTTTATTAGTGACAGTCCTTTATATATAATAAGTAATAATAAAAAAAATATAAAGATATAGATAGCTGCACACCACCGGATAAGTGGTCGGTGGTCTTACAAAAATACCCCATCTCCACATGCCATATATAGAATTAAGTGTATATAAAGGAGCTTTTCCAAAAATGGAAAGAGGTGAGCAGGACCACTGTGTTTGATCCAGTGCATGAACAATATCTCAGCAAACAGAAAAGACAGAAGGTTCTTATTTTATATTCTAGCTTGTTAATGTTGGTAATTTGAATTCTTAATTCATAAGAAACTACAGACTTAGTACTTTGATATCACAAACATCTAAATTGAACCAGTTCTACATTCAACATACCATGTGACACAAAAAGCAATGTTTAAGTCTGTTCTTTTAATATTTATTTTTAAATTAAATAATGTATAATACTAAAATCTGAATTATAATTTACAGTTTCATACCAAACTTAATGACATAAATTCATAAAAATAGTAGTTCAATAAAATTTTGAATGTAAGTCAACAAATGCAATGATATGGCCTTTGACCCATGACTTGTCTGGAAAGGGTTAATAAAATCGATCCAGTATAAAAGAAACAAATTAAGCTGAAACAGCCAAGAAAAACAAAGCAGTGCTGGCCAGGAAAGATCAGTCAGAAAGACCTGAACTGGAGTGACATGGATGAAGAAAAATTTGGGGAAGACTGATGTAATGAGAAAAAACAAACATTACAAACCAGATGTAAACCTGTCTGTACTTAATGACAGCCAGAACAAGTGGATGACGAACCAGAGACTAAAAACAAAAGAGGTAACTAACCTGAGAAGTGATAAAAGATTGAAAAACTTCACGTGGAGGAGTACCCCTCAGGAGGCAGAGCCGCCAAAAATTAGGAGGATCGAGAGGTCACTCCTGAGTAGAAAGTGTGTCGGGACTGGAATTAGCAACAAAGACAAAGCATATATATTACAATGAGTAATTTAAGTTAACTTAAATTCTCAGGGAGGTGGTAAATAAATTAGAGAAAAGGGAAGACCTAGAGAGCAAATGTCATAATTTTCATACTAAAGGAGACTGAAGATTTTAAAAATATTTCCTTATAAAATTAAGGAATTAAAGGTTAAACAATATTAAAATTTGATTTATTAACTATGTGCCAAATTTCTTGATATACAATGATAATAAAGTACTTTAATTAAATTTTTAATGTAACTCTAAAATGTCATCAGATGTGCATTTTGAATGACCTATAGCAAAAGGGTTAAGGTGGTTTCTCAGAGACTTGCAAGAAAAATGACTCACAACACCCAGATGGTGACATAACTGCTTTGAAACAAAGGAAATGTTGACATGATCAGTATAATGTGAGAGAAGGCACATGGCACGCATACTTTTTCTGTATTTGTAGCACTATGTAACTGTTGTATACCTACATTACATATAATGATTAAGGAGTTCAGGTAGCAAAGAAAATATCAGCCAATAAATGCCTTTGCTAATCAAGTAATTAATGTCATAAAATACTACAAGGTTATGAAGAGTGAAAGGAAAGAGTACTCATTTTCATTTTCTGTGACTCTGTTGTATGCATTTATGCCAAAAACAAAGAGGTCTTTTTTAACATTTCTGCTGGAAATGCAAAATACAAAGTGGTTTGTTTTATTTTGCTTTCAATGTCTAAAAAGCTTTTATCTTGTTAACTTATAACAATAAGTCATATATTAATGACTTCCTTATAAAATGTTATCACAAACACACATTGATAACAATATCAAAAACAACAATGTGACTTGTTTCCTTATGCTAACATGATGATGTCAGCTGTTGTTGTGATTTAATAAAAGTATTGTTGTACTGTATAAACCATATATGATTTTGTGTTAATAAACATGTATTGTTGTATGTGTTGTTATATATTTATTTGAAAAAAAAACATATCTCCTTGATAAATCCTACAAGGCCAAATTCACAAAAATTTGTTTCCTACTGCATAAAATTTGTCCAGCTGCATGTTAGAATAAACCCTGGGTTGATTAACATTCACTTGGAATAAAGACATTGGCTATTTTAGGTGTGAGCAGATGTGCTATTATTAAGGTATCTAATGGAGTTTCCAAAAACACTGCTACAGCCTTGTTACAAAGTCTTTGTATGGGATATGTCTTGATTATGTCACAAAAATAAGGGCATTTATTGTCATTACCATATGCAATTGTATCACTCACTAATTAGTATTAGTTGACGATCACTGATAATAGTTGTGAATTTAAGAGCATAAGGTCATGAAAATATCATTAATTTGTGGAAGTTGGGGGTTTGATGAGATAAACATTCAGCACTGACTGAATAAATGTGTGTAAAATCAGAACTAAGTCCCTGCTGGTATAAGTTGGACTAAACAAGCATGATTAACAAAAGACTTACTGGGTTTATGTTATAGTGTAGATTCAACAGGTTTGAGTATGTGTGTGTTGCATGAGAACCAACCAAGATACCACTGTTACTCCAGGAGCTATAAAAGATGGTGACAAAAGTAAGCATAAGTTAATAAGCCATATCAGAATGTACAGTGTAGAAGCAATTATTAAGAAGTATGAATTAAGGAAATGATAATTAATAGACTGATGACTTAACTTCTTTAAATATTTTTTTAAATTATTAATTAATGGTTAACGAGATTGATGACATACTGTTTTCAAAATGTCTTGTACTGTCTTCCTAATGCATATAATAATTGTTTTGAGGACTATTACAACCAATAACTTTTGACTGGAAATGTCCCCAATAGTACGTCAAACTTTTGAGTCATGACTAAGTTCATTAGAAATTATTCTACATAACCTAGTTGGATGATAATCTTATTCCAATCTCACAATTAGGTCACATGATAGTAATGATGGCATAAGGCTTCAAAATCATTTTAATATAATATATACAATCTCGGTATCATTTACAAACTGTTGCATATTCTATTATTTGAAATCAGACATTTCACAATTTTCTGTGTTTGTAACATAAATTAATAAGATTTATACAAATGTATGTTGCTTATATTTTTAATTTAGAAATCTCAAAGTTTCTACCATTGTTAACTGAAAGGAGGTTTGCATCATGTAGCTGTCACAGGTTTCAGGCATATATAAAATGT